AGCGTGTGACGGAAATGTTACACCCCTTACCATACTGTGATGCCCTGTGTCCCGGCGCAACAAGACAAAAACAATAAAACCCATTACAAACGAGGCATTTGTTGCATCCAGTGGGGTCATAATTACTGATTATAATGACTTATACTGTCGTTTTACGCGTTACGTTGCGTATCGCGCTGCGTAAACATAAAACCATGTATGGAGAAACGACAAACAACAAGTGCTAACGTTACTCTACACTGCTCAAAACTCGCGTTTGAATCGTCAGTGGCAAATTCTTTAAATATAAAAAACGTACTTACAGGCTGTGAGTCAGAAGCGCCAGACTGTCCTTGCAAAGTTGGAACTGCCCCACTTTATAGAAATAGACACCGGCATTGTAGGCTACTCTCAAAGGAAACAGTCCTCGTCCTCCGCAAAATGCGCTGCACACATCTGAATAGTTGGGTTGTACTGTTCTGGAACAGTGTTGTAATACAACTTAACCACTGATTTCTTAGTCGTGTCCTCTTTTGGAAGACCAAACAAAGTAGCTTCGCTTTCACAACGAAGCACACAGCATCTTCACGACATGGCTGCAGCGTCAACAATACTACAGCGAGAATAAAAGTTACGCCTTCTTTCTTTGCATGAACATTTGGGCGGTGTTATGCAAATCTTCCCACACAGTGACGCAGACGTGGGGGCGAGTTTAAACGAGGCGTTTTAGGAGGGCGTGAACTTTACTGAGATAGAATGTTTACTCGAGCATGAGTCTCGCTCGTCTCCACTCGCGGACCGCCTTCACGGAAAGCAGCCCAGCTCTCCCGTTTCTCCTCTCTCAGCGAGCCTCGGAGAGGGAAACAGCGGAGTCAGGGAATAAGCAATCGGTCTGACTGATCTCATGCCGGCGCTGTGCCTGCGTGCTCGCTCTCCCTGTTGCACTTGGATCCGCCGCAGAAGGGCAGTGAGCTACGCACTTACTGAGACAGAATGTTTACTCGAGCATGAGTCTCGCTCTTCTCCACTCGCCGACCGCCTTTCACTGAACAGCCCCTCTCTCACATTTCTCCTCTCTCAGCAAGCCTCGGAGAGAGGAATGACGAAGCCTGGGAACCAAGCAACCGGGTCTGAGCGATCTCACGCCGACACAGAGCCTGCGTACTCTCTCTCCCCGCTGCGCTTCGATCCATGTCTCACACAAAAGGATCAGTGCCCCTCTTTACATCGAGCGGCTCTATCCTACAAAGTAGATCGGAGCAGATGCTGCCGCTGACAGCTTCAAATTTGTGTGTGTGTCACTATGGCTGCGCTCACAGACACGGGCCGCTTTTACCACAAAAGCAGTCTGCCCCCGTTCGTTTGCGGAAGGCGGCCCCGCCTGGGCAAACTTCCTCTTCCATTACTCGTAAGTGTTCTGCCCCCGTGAGCCAGTCACCCGAGTTAATTCAACCCCTTGTCACATGGGCCAAGGCCTGGCAGGCCATCCCCGGAGTGTTGAGATGGGTTATGGGGATAATAAAGCGAGGATATTCACTCCAATTCGCTCG